CAACATATGCATTTAGAGCATTGCCTTACTGTAAATAGTTTTGGCTCGTGAATATCTATTTTTTATTTTATTTTTGTAATTGACCAATGCTCATTCGGATTACTTGGACTAAGAATTTCATACCATTTTTTCTTTTGAGTGCCAGAAAGATTTTTCACAAAATAAATCCAAGAGGGGAGACTGGCGTTTATTAAATTCATTATTTATCTTATATTTATATTTTATTCTTTAAAAATTCTCTTTTGCTCATAACATAAGAGCATATTTGTTTTAAAAGATAACACTATGGGATTGGACTATTAGTCTGGATGGACTAATAGTCCGTTGTTTGGTATGAATTTTTTTGTTCGGACTAATAATTTTTCCGGACTATTAGTCCTATATTTGTGGGACTATGCTATCCCATGGGGGGAGGGGTAGGATAGAAACCATGAGATAACTCATCCCATGGGATTAGCTACTAAAATTATATTTTTGCCCTCTGGTATTTAATTATGTATTATATTTAATAAAATTCAATAAAATTTAAATGTTTTACAATAATTTTATTTTTGTTTTATTTATTTAATTTTTTAAAATAATTTTTTATAGATATTTTATTGATGTTTTATTTTAAAATTTTGTTTATATTTTATTTAATTTTATTATTTAAATTTTAATAGATGTTTTATTTTATTTCATTATGTAATTATTATTATTATTTAAAATTTTAATTAAAAAATAACATATATTTTTATTGATATTTAATTTATTTAATTTTTTAAAAATAAATTTATTTAATTGTGCAAAAAATAAAATAAAATAAATTTTTATTTAATCTAGCTAAAAATAATTAAAATATTAAAGCTATGTTTAATATTGCTATTACTTAGTAAATAATTGAAAATGATAAAATAGTCATTTCAGCATTTATCCTTCTCCATAATATCTCAAACAAACATTAGATAATTAAAAATAGTCCAATTCAGACATCTAATCCCATGACTAAACAAACATAGGATACAAATTCAGTCTAACTAAATAGTCCAGAAACAATATATCTTAGGACTAATATTTGATAAATTACAATCTCTTCTTTTCCAGTCCGTATAAACAAACATATTCTCAATACTTTATTTTTCAATGTTTTTGAAAAGGGAAATGCTAGAGAGCTCTAAATCTAGAGCTCTAATTTGAGCTCTAGTGATGTGTCAAAGTAAAAAAAAAAAAAAAAAAACAAACAAAGCCTCTGTTTGGCAAGATGGTTTTCAGGCTTTTTTGGCTATTTTAGCCACAAAAAACAAAATAGGCTATTTTAGCCATAACAAACAAAACATCACATCCAACCTATAATCATTACATTCTTCTCTCACAAAAAAAGTCAAAAAAGCCAAAAAGCCCTTCCCAAACCAAGCTTTTTAGCCTAGGCTAAAATAGCCAAAAAAGCCAAAAAGCCAAAAAGCCAACCTACTTCCCAAACCAAGCCAAAACAAGGCACAAACATCACATCAGTGTGAGTCCCACCTTCCCATTAGAGCTATTAGAGCTCTAAAGCATTTTTGTTTTGAAAATGAAAAATAAATAATAATAATAATAATTTCGCTTGCTAAATATAATCACATAAATTTATTATATTTATCTTTTTTTTTAAATGGTAAATATAATTTTAAAAAGAGAGTACATTTTTCTTATAAAAACAAATAGATTAAGCTATTGATTACAATTATTGAACCCTATCTTAGACCTATATATTTATTATGCTATATATATATAATTAAAAGTTGAATGATTACTGAGAATCTATCCACAGTGAAAGTTAATGAAACTCTTGATTAGGAGAGGGAAGGGGGGTCTCTCTTTTGTATGTGTGACAATTGTGTTTTGGTACTGTCATTGGTAGACCTTCTAGATAGGGGAATTTAATGTGTTTTCTTTTTTTTTTTTTTTTTTTTTTTTAAAAAAATTCAATTATCTTTTTTAATACAAAAATTTTAACCTACTAAAATAGTTTAAAACTAAAATAACCTGCTAAAATAATAATTTCTCAAACACCGACCATATTTGCCAAATACATTAGTAAAAATGTTTTCAAAATTTATTTATTTATATAGGAGTTAATTATAATTTATCCCCTCAACTTAAAAATCATACTTTTAGAAAAAAAAAAAAAAAAAAAAAAAAAAAAAAAAAAAAAAATTTACTTTCAGATCTTATCATATTAGATGAATTTCTTTTAAAAAATATCACTTCCTCAATAATGACCCCTTTATTTTTTGCAAAGAAAAAGAATTTCATCTCTTAAAAAAAGTAATACACGAGAAGAACAACACAACAACAAAAAAAAAAAGCATGCTATAAAATAGAGACATCAGCAAATTAGAACATTCACATATAAAATTCAATTTTGGCTTCCAATTTGGAAGGAAGCGATACGTGCAAAGTATGTAAAATTGCCAACATTAGTTAAAATGATTATTATTGTACATTTACACAAAAAAGTTGGTATGGATCAATTATAGGATTTGGCCGTTCACCACTAAAGTTGTTCTTCTGATTTTGACATTTTCATTAGATCAAAACAACAATAAGAACCTTACATGAGAGCATTAATGCAACTACTTCAAATGGTTAAAGTTGTCGATTGATTGAGAATTGAGTTGAATTAAAACAACAAAAATGGAAGTTTTTCTTTGGCAAAATAGAAAAGAAAGTTCATGATATATGTATGAGGTCCAATATGATAGAAAGATAACATGTTGTCTATATGAGTGAGTGATTCATCACCGCTTTTTTTTAACACTATTTTCTTCTTCTTTTTTGCCTTTCTTTTAAATTTTTCTCATTTTTGGGGAAGGCATTAAATAGTTAAATTGAAAAAACATGATCGAAAAACAGAAACAAGTCCTGTGAATGAAGATTCAAAACTTGTATGAATGTGAATGAGTTTTGCTAAATTAAAAATAAGATGATTGAAATAATTAATTTATTTACAATAAAAGAACATATTTTTTAAAAGATACAATTGACATCAAATCTTTCTATATTTGATGAAGATTTTAGAATTTTAAAAATATTATTTTTGTAATAAAATTTCCCATGTAAAAGTATTAATTTGGTATCTAAGTTAACACATGAATTATATCTTACAAAAGCAATTTGGTTCAACATTTGCTCTCCTTTCATGTGAGTGTAACATAAATAATAGTAGGATTCTAGATACAACCACAAATTCATGAAAATTCTATAGGGGTAAAAATAAAATTTTAAAATGATAAATGAAGCATTATTTCAAAACTTCAAACATAAATAACATTTTCAAAATTTTAAGCAAAAATATTTTTAAAAACTGCAGGTAAAACATGTCAAATTTTGGCGGGGGAAAATTTTGAAAAAGTTCATAAATTCATATATTATTTTAATTTTTTTAACTTAGTGGGAGACAATTGACCTCAGTAGGTAATTATCCAGACAAAAACTCACAAGGATTAGACATATTTCAACGTGTGATTTTGTGTTCACACTTATTCTATGAACAAAATGCAAGTCTTTAAATAGTTCAGAATAGTAACCCAAGTTTGGGATATTCAAAAAAAGTTAAAAAGTTAAAAAGTTATTCAAAAAGTTAAAAAGTTAATACTATTCACAAAAAGTCAACAATTACGGCTGTACAACTCTCAATTCTAATTTTCCTCTACAAACTAATTTTTACAATTTTTTATTACACATTTTTCCATAAAAAGTCAAAAAGTTAACCCAAACATCTATATTTTTTCCCTCAACTTTTTAGTCCAAAAAGACAAAAAGTACACTTATTTAAGACACCCCAAACAACCCTAAATCTAAAATTTTAAATGAGGTGAATATACTTTTTTGCATATGGGCCTATAGTTTAGAACTATAGTTTAGAACCAATAAAAAGGTACAAATTCATTTACCCCCTGTAGTTTTACATTAATTGAATCATCTTATTAAAAATATTATGTATCTCAAAATTTTATCTTAAAACTTTTTCTCAAAGTGACCTGTAGTATAAATTTGATATTAGTAAGATTTGAGCAACACTCATAATAATGTGGTTCATAAAAAAAAATAAATTAAGTTTTTTTTGAATAATTTTTCCAAAAATGTAGTATTGTTGTCATCTTATTAGGGTTCATAGAGTCCAAATTGAAAAAATAAAGTGGGTAAAAAAAATTTTGAAAAAATAAAAGTAAATTACAAACACACTTCATAATATTTACTTAAAATATAGATTATCTTATGTGACTTTAAAAATTACAAATAAAATTTTTTATTTAAGACAATTAACTAAAAAAAATAAAATTCTTAACTATTCACATATACAACCATAAAATTAAATGAATTATTAATTGAAATATATGTCTAATATCATTAAGAATTGTTAATTAAATTGATAATTTATTAATAAATAAAATTATTTGTTATGTGATTAAAAATTTGAAGGGACGCATGTAATTTTCAGAAGACAAGGAATATACGTATTTTAAAAAAACTAAAAGGATATATTTATTTATAATTTATCAAAAAAATTAAGGAAAGTATGCAAGGTTGTAACTACCCACCAGACGCAAGGCCGCATCTAATCACTCCCTCCAAAATATGCCAACACGAAACAGTAGATTGACGAGAAAATAACGAATCATTGACCAGGCGATCAATTGAAAATACGTATTACGTACAGAGAACCCAACAAAAAGACGTAGAGAAAACGGAGTCCACTTTTTCATATTCTCATCCCACCCCCCCAGCCACTGTTTGTCCGCGCGTGTCTTTTTTACTTCCACACGTAACCACGTGTCACTTAACCTGCTACAACCGGTTTACCGGTCACATCCCTCGAATCGTCGACTCTCACCAAAGTCCCCTTTGAGCTGGTTTGTGGTCCCACCACCACCTCTCACTTCTCTCCTCCTCCCTTCCACCACCATCTCTCTTCTCTCTCCTCTTCGTTCAATGTATGTACATAAATATATATATATATACAGCTATACATATATATGTATTTGTATGTATAGCTTATATATATAATAATTAGGGAGAGAGGGAGAGAGAAAGGACCCTCTCTCACTAGCCAAAGATTTTACCCTCAAAGGCCTGCTTGATTTGCAGAGAGAATCCAAAGGACGCTTAGAGCAGAACGCGAAGAACTGAAACTGCACTGAAGAGAGAGGAGGGGAGAGAAGAGAGAGTGACAGTCACCCAAATATGTACTGATATATATATATATAGAGAGAGAGAGAAAAGAGATTTGGTTTATTTACATAATTCCAATCAGGTCCTCCCTTCTTTCTTCCTATCCAATCCGTAGTAAGTCCCCTGTATCATTACTCTCTTTCTTCTGTTTCTTTGTTTTTCTTTCACTTTCTTTTTCTGTTTCACAGTCGAGAAAATAAATAGTGGCGATTTTCTCATTTCCTTTCATCGGTTACATAACTGCCGGAAACAGATCCAATCTAATTATTGATATTGCGAATACTGGAGATTTAACTTCTTTTCTTCTTTTTTTGATAGAAAAATAAAGTTTTGATTTATTCTATTTTGGGAAATTTGGATTTATATTTCGAACCTGATTGAATTTCAGAGATCTGCCGTGGCTAACTTTGGCGTTTGTTGATTTTGGGGGTGTTTCAAATTCTGGGTTAATCTCATTATTGATGATTTTGATGGTTTCGTGACCCGTTTTGACTTTATTATCAATAAAATATTCATTGAAAGATTGATTTTTTCAATAATAACACTCATTTTGATCTGAATCGTTATTTTTCGGATTCAGATTGATGAGAGCTTAATTTATATCCATAATAACCTTTAGGTTTTATCATAATTTTCTTCAATTCCTTAACTGGGTTTGCTTTGTTTGTTGAAGATTAGATGAGAACAATTTGGGTTTTTGATTTCATTCTCTGATTATATTAAAATATCGATTTTTTTAGGTCATTTCTGCGTTTGACAAACTTTTCTGGGGATTTTGGGGCTGATTTTGCCCATTTCAGAGGTGGATTTGGGTGTGGTGAGGAATAAGAAGGGTTTTGGATCGATTTGGGTTTGTAATTGGTGGTTTTCCTCGGGTTGAATAACCGAGATATGTTGGAAGATCGATCCTATCTGATTTCGAGGGCTTATCCGAGAACTTGTGAACACGAAAACAGCTGGTCTTGCATGAGTTTCAGGCTAGAAAATGGAAAGAGACTATTAGAAATCGATGGGGAGGAAGAAATTGGTGTGAGGAAGTCATCTAAGCAATCACATGTTCGGGGGAGAGATGTTTCTCTGTCCCCGGAAGATCAATCTGGTAACCGGGGTCAAGCTGGGGATAATTCGGACTCTGATTCCGCAACCCATGGTCGAATCGATGTGGAGGAAGAAATTAGTGTGAGGAAATCGTCTAAGCAATCAGATGCTTGCGGGATAGAGGTTTCTATGTCCCCAGAAGACCAATCTGTTAACCGGGGTCAAGCTGGGGATAATTTGGATTCTGATTCCCTAATCCATGGTCGAGACAAGAGCCCTTTTGAAATCGATGTGGAGGAAGAAATTAGAGAGGTTTCTATGTCCCTGGCAGACCAATCTGGTAACCAATGTCAAATTGGGGATATTTCGGATTCTGATTCCCTTATTCATGGCTTGGGACGAGACAAGCAACCTTCAGAAATCAATGGGGAGGAAGTAGGTGTGGGGAATTTGTCTAAGCAATCAAATGCTCAGGAGAGCGAGGCTTCTATGTCCCAAGCAGACCAATCTGATAACCAGCGTCAAGCTGGGGATAATTCGGATTCTGATTCCCTCATCCATGGCATGGGCAGAGATGACTCAATAAACTGTCTCATTCGGTGTTCGAGGGCTGATTATTGTTTTGTTGCATCTTTGAATAGGAGATTTCGCTCTCTGGTTCGGAGCGGTGAGATCTACAGAGAGAGGCGAATCCATGGTATTGTTGAACACTGGGTTTATATCTCATGCAACCTCCTTGAGTGGGACGCTTTTGATCCAAATCGCCGGCGTTGGATGCGGTTGCCAAGGATGCATTCTAATGAATGCTTCTTTTTCTCAGATAAGGAGTCATTGGCTGTTGGAACCCAGCTTCTTGTATTTGGAAAGGAAGTGATGTCCAATGTCATCTACCAATATAGTTTGCTGACGAACACATGGTCATCCGGAATGAGGATGAATGCTCCAAGATGTCTGTTTGGGTCCGCCAGCCTCGGGCAGATAGCTATTATTGCAGGTGGTTGTGATTCACAGGGTAAGGCTTTAAACTCTGCCGAGCTCTATAATTCTGAGACCAGAATTTGGGAGACACTCCCAAGCATGCATAAGACACGTAAGATGTGTTCAGCTGTTTTTATGGATGAAAAGTTTTATGTGATCGGGGGAGTCGGAGGTGCTGATTCGAAGCTTCTTACATGTGGAGAAGAATATGATTTGGCAACGGGGACTTGGACTGAAATCCCTAATATGTCCCCCGTGCGGAGCAGTGCCGCACGGGAAAACGAGCATCCCGCTACAACCGAGGCACCTCCTCTAGTCGCTGTTGTAGATAATATGTTATATGCAGCTGATTATGCACAAATGGAGGGTGAAGAAAAATATGATTAAGGATAGGAAAGAGGTGGTTTACTGTGGCGAAGATTGCCAGGAGGGGCGGCCTCCATGAACGGTTGGGGCTTGGCATTTAGGGCATGTGGACACCGGCTTATTTGTATTGGTGGTCCTAGGGCTTCTGGTGAAGGATTTATCGAAGTCAATTCATGGGTTCCTAGTGAAGGCCCGCCAGAGTGGAACTTGCTTGGCCGAAAGCAATCTGCTAGCTTTGTCTATAATTGTGCTGTGATGAGTTGCTGAAGATCTGCGTTTTGGTGGCACTTCGTGCTGAACGGGTCCATAAGATTGCTTTTTCCATCAGCATAGCAGTATTGCTAATTGGGTAATTTATCCCAACTTTTCTTTTCTCTCTTCTTTTTTTCTTTTTTTTCTTTTTTTATTTTTGTGTGTGTGTGTGGCGTTTTTTTTTTTTTTTTTTTTTTTTGAGTTGGGGAGGATGGGAAAAAATATCAGATTTTACTCAAGATTTAACAAAATGTTTTATTGAAAGGAGATCTTGAGTAAATTTTTATTTTTATTTTTCAAAATTTTTGTTTCTGTTTTCTTTTCCATTGGATTTGACTTCCCCTATTTTCATGACATGAAAATTTGAAAATTGGGCATCAGGTAACACAGTGATAGGTTTAATAGTTTGAAATTTTCAATACATCACTACGTTCTCTTTACTGTTGGCTGAGTGCTTTTTATGAATCATACAATTAGTTACATGGGTTTTACAATCCTTGATTTTTTTGGCAGCATCTTGATGAGAGAGAATAAGCACTTGTATTCTGAGTATATTTATTGCTTCAATTCATAGGTTACATTGAGCTTTATCTTTCCAATTTCGTACGTATCAATAAAACCTTTTCTTATTTATATTTCTCTTCGGTGCTTAAATAGATAAATATGTTGGTTTAATCTTTTATCCATTCCTTTTAGCTCAGGTCATTGATGCCTTTAGGTACCATATTTCTTTCATTCTTTCCATATTTTTTGAGAGTCTGCGCAGTATAATGATTATGAACACACTTGCGATTTTTTAAATCTTTAGTTAATGTGTTTCCAAATCGCAAAATCAATCATAGAAACTTAGCTGCATCATTGTGCATGATACGTAGTCATGTGTGGAACCTATGTGGTTTTGTGTTTCTATCTAGTCAAATGTGCAGAAATTGGTATTTATGGGGTTAATACTTTCAGGTTGCATTGCATTTCATAGCACTGCTGGTTTTCATGTCTCAAAAACAAAAGATGATAACATTTAAAAAATTCATCTTTCAATTATTTTGGCATCCTTGAATTTTGTGTGGGGAACATTGCGGAAACTAATGATGCAATCATGAGTAGTGAATTGCATATGGAAATTAATCTAGAGAAAACTATTCACTGTGTCTGGTTTGAGTTTTCTTAATTAAGTTTTTTGAAAACTGAGTTTTTTGATTTTCGTGTTTTTTTATTTTTAGTGAATATTTTTAAAATTTTAAACATTTTTTTTTATTTTTTTAGATGCACCTTACTTAGATGTGTCTAAAAAGTAAAAAAATTGTGAAAAAATATTTTAAAAAATTAAGAAATACATAAAATACAAAAAATGTACTAAATTCTTGTATTTTTTTTTGTATTTTTGGTATTTAGTGAATTTTTAAAAGATTTTTTTTACAATTTTTTTACTTTTTAGGTGTATTTATGTTAGGTGTGTCTAAAAAGTAAAAAAATTGTATAAAATATTTAAAAAATTCAATAAAAATAAAAAAATACGGAAAATAAAAATGTAAAATTTTCTGAAAATTATTTTTAAAAAATGGAAACCAAGCAAAGTGATTTCTTCTCATGCCAACCTGAGCACATTTGTCATGGGGGCCGAAGTGGTGTTGCCTTGGCTAAAGGGATTGATGAAGCTAAGGTGGAATAGAAATCAACTCCATGGATAAATGAAGTTAAGAGTGGTACTCCATCACTAAGGGATGAAAATCGAAAGATGCTTGACGAGAAGATTCGAAACCTTAAACTTGTAAGGCAAAAAAACAATCATATCTAGCCAATAGCAAGTTTTTTTAATTTCAAGGTTGAGTTTTGTGGTTCTTTTTATGTCTCTATAGTCTATCCTTCTGGTGCCAGTCTGTGTTATGTGCCTATGTCGGGTAGCAAGAGGTTTTTGTTTATTGTTTGCCTGGCCTCTGAAGCATGTGAGTAAGCTTTCAAGTTCAAGATTGAGTTTCATTGTTCTTTGTGTCCTTATACTTTAGATGTGAGTCTTGGTTTTTGTTTATGCGCCTATATTAGTCTTGATTTTTGTTTATGCGCCTATATCCTCTCAGGTAGTGGGAGGTTTTTGTTTATTGTTTGGCGTTGCCTCTCAGGCTTGTGAGTAGCATCTTTCTACTCTAACTTTGTTGGGAAATCCTCTTCATGAGGTGGTTGACTTCTTAGTCACGTTTTATTGGGTGCCCTTTGGGGGTGTGTTTGAGAGCTAATTTATGACGTTTATCGTTATTCTTGCATTTTCCATTAGATGGGAGACTTTGGCCTCCTCTTGCCTCTCCCTTGAACCATGTAATTCTCAAAAAAATTTCATTGGGGCAAGAAATTCAGGGAATATGTATAGCAGCAACTGAGACAGAGAATTGCATTAGTTGTGAGGCAGCAGCAACTGTGAAAAGAAAAATGTTACTAAGTTGGTTCTAATCTTGTGAGCTTTTATTTTTGTTTGTGGGCTTGAAGTTATGGTATTTGGTTGAAATATGGATCAGTTATTATAGACCTCATCTAAGTCATTGAACAATGGAGTTGCTTTACACTTTCCAGTTTCCGAACATCGAAATTGATTCAGATTTAGCTGTTAAGATCAGTCATTACTCTGTAAAGCAGGATGTATTAGATAATATAGACGTGTATGTATACATATACATATGTATATATCTTTTCTTTTAGAAAATATCTACTATTTTTTTATTCTGGTTAGATTATGTGTACTTCTGAAATATATATCCTGTATTTAATTATGTATGGAGAAAAATCCATGATGAATGCCCCCCAAAGAAGCGGTACTGCTAATATATTACTTCTTTTGAAGTAGTTATAGTTTTTGCGGTATGTTTTCACCTGCATACGTGGTATCACCCCAACCCTTCTTTGAAATTAGGATTGCAGAAAATTTTCCCCATAGAAGTTAGTAAATTAGGACACTGATTGCAGTGTAATCTTTTGATGTTTGCATCGGTCTCTGTTGGACTGAATGAATCTGTATCTGTTTGTTTTGATGAAAAAAGCTCCTAGAAAGTTTCTGCAAACAAATCAACTTTTGAGGTCCCATTTGGTTCTTGGCAAGAATTAGGGGAAGGAAAGGACAGAAAAGGGGCTTGAAATTTGAAATGGTTCATTTTAAATGTTCTCTCTCTCTTTTTTGTGCTCTGTCTCTCTCTCTCGCTCTCTCTTTTTCTTCATCATCTTTGTGTATTAGGATGCTTTATCAGAAGGAAACCATTTAGTGGTAGAGAATATTTCTTTCTTTTAGGAATTCTTTGTTGTCACAGTTTGTGTAAGCATGCATGTCCATTTTTGCTGCGATCACGAACTGAAGGCAAACTTTTTATGGTTGTATTATTTTTTTTTTTATGTATATTTAGCTTATGGAGGGGATTTATTATTTAGCATTTTTCATTGTTGTACCTTTTTTTATTTTATTTTTTATTTTTTATTTTAATGTTTGATTGAAGATGGATCTGTAGTTAATCATAACTTTGTCTGAAGGGGGTTTGCTAGGAGAGTGAAAGTTTTCCCCAAGATGGCGGTGTACTAGCTTGAAAGAGTTTCTTGTGCATGATCAAACTATTTCTTGTGGTCCGGTTTTATGTTAGATTCTCTCTCTCTCTCTCAACCTCACAGATCTACTGATACATGGTATTTATTATTTGCATCTCTAGGTTTAAGTTGACTGCAGTTGCATTTGTTTTTCGGTTTGATGTCACTGATGATGATTCATTCAATTTGTTAATCAGATTTGTTGGGATTTTTTTGCTTGGATTAATTATCTTTCTTTGCATCCAAACAAATTTGTATTGCGAGTATCTATGATGCTGCATCAAACAGGTGCAGACATGATTATTAGAATAGAGAGTTCAAATTTTGTTTCAATTCTTACCTTTTTGGAGGTCTGTTAATAGATTCCAAGACTATTGGATATATCAAATTGGTAATGATCTGTTTGGACAATACAAAGCTTGAATTCGAACTATCATCACGAGACTAATGCTGTGTTTGGTTGAGGGATTTGACGAGGGATTTAGAAAGAGAAATTGAAAAGGTAGGTGAAATGTGAAAAAAATATACTTACATTTCACATAGTTTCACATACTTTTTTTAAATCCCTTCTCAAATCTCCCAACCAAACACAGCGTAAGAGGAAAGTCTGGCGCTTGCATGGTTAAATTTGATACCAAAGTCCGCCAAAAGACTCTGAAATGTTAGGTTTTTCAATATGATATATTAGAGAGGCATTAGAGACGTTGGAATTGCATTTAGGGTATCATTTGGCTTTTTGTTTTCTATGGTTTCTGTAGATTTTTGGATCAGCAGTTTGTGTCGGGTAGGTTTGTGTTCTGTTTCCATCCCATTACTTGTATCGTTCACATTCCCTGTGTCGGAGATATCTGCTGGTTAATAAAAAATTAGAGGTCAACGAGTTATGCTCCGATGGCTAAGTTTAATTAAATTAAAACTCAAATATTTTATCGTTTGAATCTCAACTTCTCTCAAATGCTGTAGTTTTTTTAATTAACTGATTTAGTTTTTAATTCTTCAATTCAACCTCTACAATCCCATCTTTAAAAACAATTATTATTATTATTATTGTTGTTATTATTATTATTATTTTATAAAAACAAAAACAAAAACAAAAAAAAAAACTCTGCAATAGTTTCAGATTTTCATTAGCCCAGATGAACGCTGCCCAAACCAGTAATACAGAAGGTACAAAGATTTGGGCCGAAACCAAGCTGTGGAAATCTTCAAGTGAACTAGACAGAACCAGGATTCAATAACTGCCCCTAATAAATAAATTGTCCAGGATTCAATAGTGATAAATTTATCATTTATAATTTTGATTAAATTTTTGAGTATATAAATGATATCATTCTACAAACACAAAATATATATCTAGAAAGTTCAAAACATATATCTAGAAAGTTTTCAACCAAAAAAAAGTAATTATCAAATCGATGAGAAAATACATAAAAAAAAATTTATTGAAGACCTATGAGCGAATACATCTAATTCATAAGATTTGCCGGTAATTATCCCAAAATGAATCACGTAATTGGCTTAGATGGCCGGCCCAACTAGACCGTCCACGACCGTAATTGCCGGTAATACATCTAATTCATTTTAAAGGGCATCAAATAGTTGA